AAATTTTCAAAAATCATTAATTTTTATAATTGAACCAGTTTTTGTAGGAAATTAATAATTTGTTCATTAAGACCAAGTACTCTATCGTTATACCAAGTGAGTGAATAGTCTAATTTTAATTTTAACAAACGTCAAAAAAACTACTCATTTTCTCAAATTTTGATGATTTTTTTAAAGTAAACTACTTGTCGTAAGGCCGTAATATTACAGTAAGTTCTATAAGACCATGATATATATATATATCACTAAAAAAATCCATGAAAATCGGCTTAATTTTTTTTTTCAACAGTTAATTACAAGAAAACGGCTCCGTAGATTTTCACCCAAAAACTAATCAGTACCATTCCCAACTAATATCTTTCGAACAGTTTTTGATTTTTCAAAATCGGTTCGGTAGGATGAGCTTAAATGTGGACGAAAAGTTTACACTTTTTTCCAATTTCAAAGAAACGGCTCGGCGGATCGTCGCACAAAACTGACAAACGATAGTCCTCATCGAAATACATCAAATGGTTTTTAAATTTCTGAAATAGGTTCAGACGTTTTTGAGAAACGTCGATGAAAAGTCTAACTTTGACAAATGCCAAAAAACTATACCAATTTTAGCAAACTTTGAGGAATTTTCAAAGTTAAACTAATTGTTGTAGGGCCGTAATATTTTAGTATGATCTAGATTCTAGAAGACTATGGAATCTACCGTCAAAAAAATAATAACAAAAATCGTCGAAATTTTTTTTTTTAACAATTTATTACAAGAAAACGGCCGGGCTGATCTTTACCAAAAACTAATCAGCACGATTCCCAATCAATATCTTTCGAACGGTTTTTGAATTTTCTTAATCGGTTCAGAATTGCGGGCTAAAACGTAGACGAAATTTTTTTCACTTTTTGCTATTTATAAAGAAACGTCTCGGCTGACAACAATAGTGCTCGTCGAGATACATCGAATGGCTTTTAAATTTTTGAAATCGGCCCAGCCGTTTTCAAGAAAACGTCGATTTACGGCAAAAAATCTGTTCACATACACACACACACACACACATACTTTTTCCAAATTGGTCTCATTCGATTCAGAATGGCTTGAAACGTCGAGAAAACATAAAATTAGCGAATCGGATTTTTTGATGAAAACATAAACTTCTCTCTTCGGGAAGTTAAAAAATAAATGTTTTATAAATACCAATGAATATATAATTATACAAATGAGATCTTTCAGAGCACCGTGCTTGAAAAAATATGATTTGCAAAAATAGAGTGCTACAACGCCAAAAAATGCATTTTCATATTAACATTTCAAAAAAGTTGATATTTTGAGATTCTAGTAACACTTGCGGCCCGTTTAATAACGTTTTTTGTGTATAATATAACTACTTACCACAATTTAATCAAAATTAAATAATATTCACATAAAACATTCTATTAAATGTAATTGAACATCATCTGTCAAAAACATTTCACGTATTATCCACCGTCCATTGTTTTATTCAAATTACGCTTTTACAAAAATTTTCAAATTAAAAGTGTAAGGTTTCTACGCGGTTTTGAATAATTTCTCGCCTTTTGGACTTTCTCTGGATTGGCACGAATTTTTCAAGACTAAGACTGGCCAAACCGTTTTCGAGTTTTACTTGGACATAAAGAGAGCTCCATTTTTATATATAAGATATATATATATATATATATATAAACTTATATTTATGTATTAAAATAATAATAATTATTATTATCGAGTGAGCTCTGAGTTCGAAACGCGTTGCATGTATCCAAACCAAACCATTGCCAACCGCCATGAAAAAATCAGGATGAGTTTGGTCTAGTTTGAAACAGTTTCGGACTGTCAGATTGGCTCGGATGGAACGAACCCAATAAAACACTAGTATTATAATTGTAAAATCTGTATCATTTCTATCAGAGTCGTCAGCAGCAAATTTCATAACCTCTAAAACAAAAGTGACAACAATTTATTTCACATTTAAGCTCATACTACCGAATCGATTTTAAAAAACCAAAAACTGTTTGAAAGACATTAGTTGCGAATGATACTGATTAGTTTTAGGTGAAAATCTACCGAGCCGTTTTCTTGTAATTAACTGTTGAAAAAAAAAAATAAGCCGATTTTCATGGAACTTTTTTTGGCGTTATATATCATGGTCTTATAGAACTTACTGAAATATTATGGCTTTACGACAAGTAGTTTATTTTAAAAATTCAACAAAATTTGAGAAAATGAGTAGGTTTCTTGACCTTTGTTAAAATTAAAATTAGATGATTTACTTATGGTATAACGAAAGAGTACTTGGTCTTAATGAACACACTAAACCATTCAAGTCCTGCGGAAACTGGTTCAATTTTACAAATTATTTGTTTGTGGTAATTTGCTTTTAGAAAATACTCAGAGTTGACGTGTTCGTTCGTTTTCAATTATGTGTAATAATCCACTCGGAATATTTTAAATTACTCATGAATTAATTTTTTATTGATTAAGTCCATTATTTATACATATCGGGAAGTTAATGTAACTTGTTTGAAGGCAAAATACCAATACCAACTAGTTTCTATCAGAGTCGTCAGCAGCAAATTTCGCCACCAGCGATTGTGGATGGTTGGTGCCTATGTAATGTAAATAATTGCTGTCAGAATATTATGTTTAAGATATTTTGTCAAAAACTAGAAATGGCTACAATATTAAGATTTACTTGAAGTTATAATAGTATTTCAACATTTTATAATCGAAAAAATTAAGTCCTGATAAGCAACGCCCACAAACTATAGTTTGCTGCTAGGTGCTTTGTTGCTGCTAACTATAAGCACACGTTCATAATAACATCACTAACATACACAATTGCGGTGCCGAAATTGGTGTTGACGATTCTGATAGAAATAATCCATCAAATTATTTATTATTTATTATAGTTTAATTAACTACTCAATAAATATAAATGTGAAGCAAAATATAATGTTTCGTGTTTATTTCTAGATGTTAGGCTAAGTTATTGTAATCGTCCAAAAATCGATTTTTTTTTTACATTTCTTCATGTTTTGATGGTTTCTGAACATTTTGGCATACCACAGAAAAAATGAATGTGTGCATAGATAAAAAAAGTGTAGATGTGTGTGTGTATGTATGTATGGATACAATTTTCCGTCTACGTTTTCGGGCGCACGTATCAACCGATTTGAAAGGTTCAAAAACATTCGATTCCTATTAATAGAGAGATGTACTGATTAGTTTTTTGTTGAGTGCACAAAATACAAATCGAGTTTTTGAGAGAACGGAGCATCCCCATTTGAATGATCCAAAAAACATTCAATTTGTGTGAGAAGTAGTGATTAGTTTTTGGCAAAGACAGCCATTTCAAAGATACAGAGCAAAATGTACAAAAAAATTGCAGTTTTTGAAAGAACTAAGCATCCAATTTGAATGATACAAAAACTTAAAAAAAAAAAATTATTTCATTTTTTTGAATATACAAAATAATTCAGATTTTAATTTTAATTCTGACTAAAGTTTTTAAAGCTCACATACATAGATAAAAGAAGAGTAAGCTCACATATATACTTTAAATAAATAATTTTAACTTTGTAATTCAGTTTATATATTCTAATGATAAATATTAGACAATGTTACAGTATTTATAATAATCTATTTAAAAACATTTAATATTCCTGGAATATTTCGTTACGGTACGGGAAGTTCCAGCAATTTGCCCAAAGGAACGATGCCATACACCACTTATAGATAGTTGATTTTGAAAATGTAATATTATTTTTATTTTAGTAAATTCACTCATTTGTTTATCTTAAACAGATAGAATATATTACTTTTGTAAAATAATGTACAAACTAGTGCGGTGGGTGGCATCGTGCCTTAAGGCAAATTGCTGGAACTTCCCGTACCGTAACGAAATGTTCGAGGAATACTGAATGTTTTCAAATAGATTATTATAAATATTGTAACATTGTCTAATATTTATAAGAATTATATAAACTGAATTGCAAAGTTGAAATTATTTGTCAAGTATATTAGAACTATAGTCAGAATTAAAAATAAAATCTGAATTATTTTCGATATACAAAAAAAAAAAAAAAAGGTTGAAACAATTTTTTTTCCAAAATCAATTATTTTGTTAAGGCAAGCAGAAAGTTCTTTGAATCAATTAAATCGGACGCTTAGTTTTCTCAAAAACTGCCATTTTTTGTACATTTAGTTCCGTATCTTCGAGATGGCTGGGCCTGCTTTGCGAAAAACTAATAACCACTTCTCCCAATCATTACTAATTGAATGTTTTTTAGATCATTCAAATCAGATGCTCCGTTCACTCAAAAACTCGATTTCTATTTTCTGCACTCTTTGCTTTTTATCTCCGTAACTGCTGGACCTGCCTTTGCCAAAAACTAATCAGCACATCTCCTTATCAATAGGAATCGAATGTTTTTTGAACCATTCAAATTGGTTGATCCGTACGCCCGAAAACGTGGACGAAAAATTGTATCCATACATACATACACACACACATCTTTTTTTTCTGAGGTATGCCAAAATGTTCAGAAACCTTCAAAACGTTGAGAAATGTAAAAATTTTAATTCCGATTTTCGGCCCATCACAATAACTTACCCTACGGGAAGTTAAAAATCACAGAATGTAGGATATACTGTTTTTAATAATAAAAAAATAAGCATAGTTCAACGGCCAGTGGATCGAACCCTGGCCCTTCTAAAGAAAGCACCCTAACCATTAGGCAACAACAGATACGCCATTGACAAAGTAAACGTTCTCACCAGTCCTCGCGTATTGCACGGTTATAGTGTTTTATATAATAATTTATAGATGGCAGTAATGCTTGCTGTCAAATTTAATATCAAAATAAATTATGATGGAGGCGCACAATGCATTGAATGTCCTTTAATTCATGGTGTTTTTTTAATTAACACACTAACTTGACATCTCATATAATGATTAATTTAATTTCTTATAGTGAAATATATTGTTTCTGATTGTGATTTCTTCAAAGTGATTTTGTGAAAGAGAAAGTGTGACATAACCTGCGAAATGTTTTTGAAGTGATATCTCGAAAATTTAATTTAAATAAAATCAGTTTTGCTTAACATGGAGAATGATACTATTGAACATGGTAAATCATATTTCTTCTGAATGCGATATCATACAATATGTTTTTTACTATACTGTTTTTTGAATCACTGGTCATGTTTTCTAGAAAATGAGACAATGGATGTGACTAACAATGAAAATCCTGAAGTTTTTGAATCGAGCGAGTAAGTCTTTTTGTCTTAATCTTTTTTACCATTATGTGCACTAACAATATTTAAATATGAGTAAACTTTCAATATGTTGGGGGTACTGTGCTACTATTGTGTAAATGGAACATTATCTTGTTTTATACTAAATACTCCATGGTACAAAAGTCTTTGTACTATTTGTATTTCACGTGATTATCGAGATAAGTTTAAGTATCGGTCAATAAAATCACTCAGCAACAATAACGAAATTATAATTTTTTGAATTCACATTTTTTATACAAAATCATTAATCAGTTTTATGAATATATTATATTCTAATATTTTTTAGGGTTCTATATATGACATGCTTTTATTTATAGATATGCTCTGCATATAGCATTTATGATATATTTGCAATAAGCTTTGTCTGATATCTGATATATTTATTGAATTACTTTCAAGATTTCATTATTTATTACATTTTTGCGTTTATTTTAGGTTTTACTTTATCTTGCTATTCAATATATAAGTAATATGATGATTTTGTAAAAAAAAGAAATAATTGAAATTGTATATTGTAAGTTTAAACATCATAACAATTGAAAAATGAGAAATAACAATGAATTTCATTATTGCGTATTGAACTTTTTTCTCTAATATTTCAAATCAAACTCGTCAAAAAATTTAAATTTAACTTATAAATTTTGCAGAAAATAGTATATTTTTGAAGAAAAATGTGAAGAATTCTCAGTGTTGCACATGGGCGAGGGCGGAAAAATTGAAACTTTTTTAAACATTTTATTCATATAAGTGGGAATTCATATTGGGAATGTGAATAATAGTCCAGTCATTTAAGCTTAAATTCGGTAAGAATCTCGAAATTCGAGATATCCAGCTGTAAGTCTGTAAATACTTGTATATTGACACCCTAAAGTTGTCTCAAAACCTACATATAGTAGGGTATCAATACCAGAATACAAGAATACATAGTAAAATTTTTGAAAAAAAAATTATATATTTTTTAAGTTATCGTCGATCTCCAACGGCGCGACAAAAAAAAGGCCCTTAACTGCTACGGTGATTCTGGCGGCCTTCTACGTGGATGAAATTAAAAAAAAAAAATCTCGTTAAACTAGATAATATTGTCTGTAAAATGAACAACGATAAAGAAAAAAAATCAAAAATTGACAAACAGACGGCGTGTTTTGAAAAAAAGTCGAATTTTACCCAAAATTTTGGTCGTTTTTGGACTGCCAAAATTCGATTTTTGATCCGATCAAAAAATCGATAGTTCATTTTACGGAGAACTATATATAGAACATGTAAAAAAAATTTTGATAGTGATCGGATAATTTGTTTTTGAGTAATCGCTGCAGCAAATTCGGAAAATGCTGTTTCGAGAAAAACGCGTTTAAAGATAAAATGATCGTTATACTTTATATTATATATATACTCTTTAAAGGGCTGTGACTCAAAAACTATATAAGATATCGATTTAAAATTTTGGTATGTCATTTATAACCTATCGAAATATAGAAAAATTGAAAATTTCATGTTTTGAAAAGTTCACACTAGTTGTGCCCCTTAAAAAATTTCAAATTTGTACACACAAAGTATACAATAATCTTGAAATTTGTATACAATAATAACTTTTGCTTGTATTATCTATGATAACACGGAGAAAATATGTATTAAAGAAAATTTTATTGAATATTTTAAAATACCTTAGAAAATTATTGCATTAATTATTTAATTTGAAAATGGAAAAGGCAATCTTCATTTGAAGTATCCCGCAAAAAATATTTTTATTATTTACTGTTTATATAAAACCAATGTCCATGCAATGCAAGGTCATTAATAAAAAACATGTCTTTTAATTTAAATTAATTAGATGTTTAGTGTCATTGAATTAATAAATTTAAACAAAATTAATAAAAGATATGAATAAGTAAAATTATGTTCCAAACGCGCTTCAAAATATAAATCCAGATCTAAGACTGATTAATAATTAATAACAAATGTTTTTATATATATTATTATTATAGTGTACAGTAGAAGTTTCTTATTCGCGCTTCCATATACGTGTTTTCGCTATTCGCGGCCAAAAAAATGTGACCCAATTTCTATATTCGTGGCTAAAAATTTTGTTATTCGCGGATTCCAATATGTATCAAACCCAAAATCCTAACTAATAGAATGAAAACAACCTTACTTACTACTCAATGAATAAAATAGATTTTTAGTAAAATTTGACTCAAATCGACATGAAATCCACATTCCCAGCCCATTGAAGAAGAGCAATTCATTTCAATTGCTTCTACAAGCAATAGATTTTTTTTTAATTATTATTATTTTTTGAACAGCAATCAGAACCTTACGTCCTATGAGCTGTTGGGCTGAAACTTCTCTTTACTTCGTATTTTTTAGATGGTAACCCAATGGATGTTAATCCATCCATATTTGATGATTTTTTGTTATTAGAATTAATCTAATAGGGCTCACATTTTATTGGTGCAGCAATGCCGGGTGACGGCTATTTTCACTTGGAAACATATTGCTATCTATATTTTCAAGTGAAAATCGTTGTTACTGCTGCCTGACAACAGGCTGCTCGAAGTGGGTATCGAACCCAGGACCTCTGAAACAAGTCCCGTCGCTCTTAACCGCTTACCTACGGGCGAGCCCAATAGAAATGTGACACTTAATTTGAAAAACCTTAGCGAATAATTAAAAAATGAACTGTGCAATTTCTATATGGGCATTGATCGATATATGGAAAGTGTTATTTTTAAGAGGCAAATTACTGATGTGACTGAGTATCAGTTTGAATTAAATAAGCAAAACAATATTACAAACTTCTTCAAACCATTGCCTTAGCCTCAACAAAATTAATCAAAATGTACAAAAACTATAATTATAAAAAATTTAAGGAGGTTTTACTGTATATTAGTATTTTACATATGAAATATAAGAGCTTATGAAATTGACGACGACGTTTATATGTGTTTACAATAAAAGTAAATTAACAAAACCTAATCGAACCGATTTCGAATGGAGGGTCTTATCTCACATTGGTGACCATGCATTAGCATTAGAGTACCATATTTTACATTTTTAACTTCCCGTAGGGTAGTTATAGTAATGGGCCGAAAATCGAAAATCAAATTTTTTGCATTTTTCGACGTTTTGAAGGTTTCTGAACATTTTTTTCATACCTCAGAAAAAATGGATGTGTGTGTGTGTTTCGTCCACGTTTTCAGGTGCACGGATCAACCGATTTGAATGGTTTAAGAAACATTCGAACCCTATTGATAGGGAGATGTGCTGATTACTTTTTGGAAAAGGCAGTTCCAGCCGTTACTGAGATACGGGGCAAAGAGTGCAGAAAATACAAATCGAGTTTTTGAGACATCCGATTTGAATGATCTAAAAAATATTCAATTTGTAATGACGATAAAAAGGATAAAAAATTATAACATCTTTTTTTATTTTCTATGAAATATTTTTGTAATTTTATATTAAAAATTCAAAAAATTACCCAGGCTAAGCACGGTCTATGCGCCACTCTGGTACAAATGTTTACCCAAGTGCGTTTAGACTGTTTATATACTGGGGCACTTTTCCAATTTTGTGAAAACTATTGAAAAATGTGAAAATGCCGCTAAGCTAAGCACAGTATAAGTGAAAATGTCGCACAGAATTATTTGCAAATGCCTTGAAATTAGACTGTGACTATACGGGAGCACTTTTTCAATTTTGTGTAAATTAGGCAACTATTTTTTTGAAATTGAATTCGAAATGAAATGACGATTGTTAATGTTCTGGAGATAAATTGATTTATGATTTACATTTAATTTGCTCAGATATAACAAGATAGCAAAAATAATGAAAGTTTCAGTATTTGTAATAATAAATTTGAAAACGTTTAAAATTTCTCGAATTTTTTATTATGGTACGGGAAGTTCCAGCAATTTGCCTTAAGGCACGATGCCATACACCACTAGTTAATATTATATTAATAGAATAGCAAAGTTAATATTGTTTATTTCAAGTATATAAGTGAGCTTTAGAAATTTACTTTGCTTTTTTGAATATTATTATCCAAATCAATTCCGAGGTTACATTTTAATTAAAAGACTGCATTCCAATTTTCTGCACTTTATGCACCGTATATCTGAAACTACTAATCAGCACATCTTTCCATGAAAAGGAATCGATTTTTTTATAATTCAATTCGGTTAACCGGTGCTTCCGAAAACGTCGACGAAAATTTGTAACCATACATACATGCATATATACATACTACATACAAACACATTTACACATACATCCATTTTTCTAATGTATGCCAAAATGTTCAGATATGAAATGTGAAGATATTCAAATATTTTTAATTTCGATTTTTGAACGATTACAATAACTTACCCTGCAAGATGTTAATAATTATTATCTATATGTAAAGGTTTGTTTTTAAATCACGTCATAGAAAGCATGTGCATTGGAATATATCAATACTTTCCACTCGCGAATTCTGAGATTTGTATGAATTTTGCCGCCAAAGGCATCCGAGTCGAAAGGGTTAAAATCTTTAGAGAGTAAAATTCTGGGCATAAGCGTAACTTCAAGAAAAATTTTCAACTCTTGCACTCCCGAAATACGATTTTCAAGTGGAAATTTAATATTATGCTTCCTGATATCGAGAAAACCGAGGTTGGAATCGAACCCTGGACTTGTTAGCTTTCAACCGCTTTTAACCGTGGACTCAAAATGATGTGAACTTTAAATTCAATATTGCAATACTACAAGTTAACTTCGTCTATTTGCTCATTGATCAGACTTACTTTTGGATTAAACGGAAATGACATTATTGATAAATACATTAATTCTAGCTTCTATCATGGAATTTTATTATCTTTTGGTGACACTACTTGCTTTGTACAAAATCATAGCAGTAGGTTTCAGTAGGTACTTATTGAATATGTTTCATTTATTCATATATTATCATTCAGTATAGAATTGAATTATCTACTATGAAT